TCTGTTAGTGTATTTTTTCGCACCTATTACTGGGGACTTCCCCGTAATAGCCCAGAGCCCCACAAATTCACCATCCGCCCATGCTGACACGCGTTATTGAGCCAGACATGTCGATTCCCTCCCTTTCACTGTACGAGCAGTCCATTTTTATCCCTGATGCCTCGTTTCAATATCGTTCAAGCCAAAATTATCCCAGGGAGCATTACTTCCATGGCTGGAAATCCTTCACAGTCCGCTTCTATAGGCATTTTATTTTAAAATATATCCCTAGTTGTGAAAGGAAATACGACCTCCAAGTATTTAAAAATGGGGCGCAATCCTCAAAAACCCTTAAAAGTCGGCAACTCATCTACTAACATAGGTGTCTATGGTCTGCCTTTTATGATTTCCCACAGGCTCGATTGCTCCGGAGTATCATAAAAAAATTATAAACTTACCAAAGTTACGTCGTTCTTTATATCCTTAGTAAGTATTTTCTGACAGTCGAAAAATAAATGTTAATTTTTAATCTTGGTGACATCTATTGTGGTACACGCGATAAATGTCTCGTGAATAAAAGTCTTATAGTGGTCTTGTGAAACACTTTTGAGCTGTGAAGTCATGTGATCGATGATTGTAGGTATTCATATTTTGTTAAGAGGTTTAATTATGTAGATATAATGTCATTTTCATAATCAATTCTTACTATTGTTGTATACGTCATCTAAAAAAGTCTCTTGTTTAGGTGTCATAGTCTGTAAAATAAATATCAAAAAGTTGATGAATTTTATAAGTGTATTTCGATGACGTATCACTATTTTAATTTAATAGACTGTAAATTTGTTGCAAAAATAAAGAGAAGGCTTAGGCTCCACAAAGACCATTTCAAATAGACACAAGGCAAAGAAACCTTGAATGAGACTAAACTTTCGGTTAGTGTAAAATGAACCTATATATATATATATATACTGTGCAATAAGAACTATTCAATATTTTGTGTATTGTATTGGTCCTACTCTACTCAACGGTATTATTCTCAAGACGTATCTCTCTCAGTTTGGAACCTTTTAAATTAAATGTTGGTCGTATTGTTGTGGCCTATCGGGCTTACCCGAACTGGAACTTTGTCCACTTGTAGTTAAAAATTCATGTCAGAAACTTCATTAGTGTCACATGAATTGTTTATCTATGTTTCATTAGACCCTCAAATTGGATTTCTTGAACAAATATATGATTAATGATTTATTTACTAAGTAATTTGAACATTAATTACTTTATGTCTTAGTTTAGTACTCAGTTTGAGCAGTGTTGGCCTAGTGGCTTCAGCGTGCGACTCCCATCCCTGAGGTCGTAGGTTCGATCTCGGCTGTGCACCAATGAACTTTCTTTCTATGTGCGCATTTAACATTCGCTCGAACGGTGAAGGAAAACATCGTGAGGAAACCGACATGTCTTAGACCATGGCGTGTGGCAGGCACAGGAGGCTGATCACCTACTTGCCTATTAAATTGAAAAATGATCATGAAACAGATTCAGAAATTTGAGGCCCAGACCTAAAGAGGTTATAGCGCCACTGATTTATTTTTTATACTGGGCTGGTCATTTGAGTGTCATGGCCAGCACCAACATGACTGCCTCCGTCGCGTCGGTTTCTGCGAAGTGTTTTTATATTTGTTTATAATTTTAAAGACGGTGACTCTATGATTTGCTCGACTTGCGGGATAATTTATTTATGTATTGCACTATTAATGAGCGTTCGGAAACCAATGATTCATAGTAATCTTATAAAATATACCAATGAATTAAATATATATCTAATATATAAAATTCTCGTGTCACAGTTTTCGTTGCCATACTCCTCCGAAACGGCTCGACCGATTCTCATGAAATTTTGTGTGCATATTGGGTATGTCTGAGAATCGGACAACATCTATTTTTCATCCCCCTAAATGTTATGGGTAGTCCACCCCTAAATATTTTTTTTTTATTTTTAGATATTTTTTTCTGTTTTTATTTTTTTATGATACAGCATTAAAAAATACATACAAACCCCTAACTTTCACCCCTCTACGATCAACCTCTATTTTTTTATTATAAATGATATATATGGCAAAACGACGTTTGCCCGGTCAGCTAGTATAATATATATTGCAGATTCTGTACGAGTTTTATGTGCGATAGAATTTGAATCTACCATTTGTATGTTATGCCCATTGTTAAGAGTAGGGCATCGAAACTCGGTTCAATTTTGAAAACCCGGGTTTTCGGGTCTAAGAGTAATCAAAACCCGGGTAGACCGGTTTTTTCGAGCATTCCATCTTTTTATTGATTTTTTTTCAAATGCACTAATCTGCGTTTATATATCGATTTTTTACAATGAATACAAAATATAAAGGATGAGGAAGAATTTAAATAAATAAAACAGTACTTTACAAATTACAAAAACAGTTTTAATGTTTAAAAAAGTGCCAGCGCCAGACCAAGACCTGCGAGAAATTGACATTCAGTTGTCTACTTTGACAAATGAAGAGGAACTGAACAGACAGTTAAGTCAAGCTGTTGCTACTGATAATAATGCTCCTGAAACTGGATCAGCTTGTCCATCAGACGATTTGCTTACTACTGTGAGGGTAGAAATAGCTATCTTCGAGAATGGCGATACGCGACAGCGAGAGCGTTCCTCTCTTTTTTTCTTAAGTGGTCAGATGGTCAGAGGGTATGTCTTAACTATGTTGTTTATATGTATACTGTGTCAAATGCATAACTACTTTTTACTTAATATTATGAAGAAAAAATAATTCTTTATCACTTTTTTAAACATTAAAACTGTTTTTGTAATTTGTAAAGTACTGTTTTATTTATTTAAATTCTTCCTCATCCTTTATATTTTGTATTCATTGTAGAAAATCGATATATAAACGCAGATTAGTGCATTTTCCTTTGACCATCTGACCACATAAGAAAAAAAGAGAGGAACGCTCTCGCTGTCGCGTACCGCCATTCTCGAAGAGAGCTATTTCTACCCTCACAGTAGTAAGCAAATCGTCTGATGGACAAGCTGATCCAGTTTCAGGAGCATTATTATCAGTAGCAACAGCTTGACTTAACTGTCTGTTCAGTTCCTCTTCATTTGTCAAAGTAGACAACTGAATGTCAATTTCTCGCAGGTCTTGGTCTGGCGCTGGCAAATTTTCAAGAGGTATATTTTGTTCTTTGGTTATGCGTTTAATCAGACTAACAATCACGCTTAGCATTTCATCACCTGTAGGCCGATAAAAACCAGTTTTGTCTTCATTTTGAATGTTCTCAAAATATTTACCCGGATTGGTCAAGTACTGTAGTGTTGCTGCTTGAGTTAGTCTTTTTGCGTATCGTTTGGTCAATGCAGTTGCCATTTTGTTACTTAGTGGTGTCTTCATTTCATCCATTTTCTTCAATGCAAATTTTAGGGAAACATCAGCTGTAAGTAATGTTGCATCGCGTCGACATAGGGCCTCGACGACTGTTTTAATAACATCCAATATTTATTGGATCTAATCTTTATTTCTCCAGTCATCATCAGTAAATGCAATATCTGTTTTTAAATAAATTAAAGCTTTTATAAAAAAAAATCATCACCGGCAACACCCCGCACAACGCGCGACGAGCTTCGCTACACCCTCCCCTCTCCTCTGCTCCACACTTCACTCCATTCATGTCTTGAGATGGACGCGCGGAACGCGAATTTAACTTGCAATGCTTGTTTTATTGGTAGCAACGAAGCAACTTTTTACGTAATAAATAATAATTTATCAAAGCGTCTTTTTATTCCATTTACTTATTATTGCATTCAAAGTGGCTTAAACTTAATAAATAACAAAAACAAAAGTATTAAAAAAAAACCCGAAAAACCCGAGATTTAAAAATTAAACCCGGGTTTTTTCGTAATCCTCAGAACCGGGAAAACCCGGGTTTTTTCGGTCCGGTAAACCCGGGCTCGATGCCCATTGTTAAGAGACTTGAAGAGTTCTTTGCAGACGCTTTCACGCTCTTCAGATAATTACTGTCCCGGTTCTTTTTTTATTCTTCGAACGTTGAACCCTTTCCTTCATATTATATGAAATTCAAGCGAATTAGGTAATGAGGTTAACATTTCAGAAGGTCTTATGCAGATGCGTTGGAGAACATTTACATTATCTGAATTACTAATTGCTGTGAAACCTGTGAGGGTCGATAGTCATTTTCTGTGGCATTGCATTGCACTACATTGCCTATTGCTAATTGCCGGAACATTAAAGCTTTATTGCAGTGGCCCTGCGTTAATTATGGACACAAAAAATACGATTTAGTACTTAAACAGTGATGCAAGGTATGCATGTATTTATTAATAATGTGTAAGGGCTAGTTGATCTAGTTCTTAGGGTAGGAAATTAAACACTCCAATGATGACTTGATTCACTATAAACCGCGGAGATGTTCGAGTGAAATCGTAACAATTCGTAAACAATCGAACGAGTCAAATGCGCATCTATTGCATATGCGTTGTTGTTGCATATAGGTAAACAATTACACTTATGAACGTCAAAAAGAAGTTAAATTAATTGTAAATTTACATTTACTACCAGATCGCAAGTCCTGGCAAGAAACTTTCCGCCACTCTTTTTAATTGCATATAATGTCTTAGTAAAGCCACATGTATATAGAAAAAAATTTGCATATAATAAAAAATGTTTAGAATTTAATTAAATAAATATTTAAAGCTAACAAATGTGTTCTTGTTTCTAAACCAGAATATTTCGAGAAGTGTATGATTTAAATTATTTTTTATAAGTAGTGGTAATTTCTCGGCCTCGGTAAAACTGTAATTGTTTTGAAAGGCACAAAAGCCCGTTCTTATTGCCCTTAAAATGATAGATAAGTAGTGTTGTCACGAGTGTTTTGTAAATTAGCATTATTAATTTTCCTTGTTTGAAATACCTGCGTGTACTACATGTATTTGTTAATACTTATTTGTTTGTCTCCAGGTGGAAGAGATACGGGAGATGATAGATAAGATTCAGGCTAACGTCGAGGAGGTAAAGAAAAAGCACAGTGCCATTCTATCGGCCCCCCAGTCAGATGAAAGTAAGTGTGAATTAATTTTATCGCCTCCGCAAAGGTTATAGAAATATCACGTAAAATAAGGCAGCTGGAAATGTTAAAGCTTTAAAGTCAACGTGCAAAAATAAACAACGATTGACGCCGAGCTAATAATACCTCGCCCTTTGCACCCACGAGTGGATAAATCGTGGGCGTGTCTGCTATCTGTAGCATTTCTTGTTTGTGGGCGTATTTTGGGTAGGAGTCGGATAAAAGCGTAGGCTTCTAAATTGTTTTCAGAACTGATCCTTTAGTATCGTATAGTTAAGTCTATTTAGAGATCTATTTATAAAGAATTATTAGTATTGTAAAGTCAGGATAGCTAGCGATGCATGTGTGCCTGGTACCTGCAATTTAGAATTTCAAGGGACCGAGTATTTCTATTCGTTTATAAGAGGATTCGTTATTATATCCTGGGAAGAATTAATGTATGGGTATTGGGTTAGACCAAATAAATTTGAAACGAATAACGTTATAAAGAGGTTACACTGTATTATTAAAATGTTAGGTATACATTTGAATAATATTACATATTAATTATTAAAGTCTCAGCAAAAAATAAAAAATATTCTATTCGTAATGGCCACCCTTGGCTTTTATACGGGCCTTTAATCTGTGCACAACATTCAAAATAATTAAAAAGTTGAAAAAAAAAAGAAATGTCTTTATGTAACAGTATTTATGGCCAGACTAGTTATATGATATGTCATATCACAGACAGTTTATGGAGAATCAATATATAAAGATGTTTGAAATATTAACGAGGTTTAATTCTAAACTTAGATTAAACAATATGCAAAAAACCTTTTAGTCGTGGCCACAGCTTAGATTGACCTAATTTAACTTCGATAGGACTGCAACGAATGTTGTAACAGTATAATGTTCTGCCTAGGTACTGTTTGAACCATTTGAACGTAAAGTGAACATGAACATGTCATCCTCATCAATTATACAATAAATATGAAATTCTTGGAAGCACTTGTAATAATAATTATGACACGAATTGCAAGTGTTAAAATCTTATAATTATGAACATTTTAAAAATTCTTTATTAAGTAGATGAGAGAAAGCTCTAAAGGCTGCTTGTGAAAGTGTGAAGCTTTTTGTGTTGCCCTGAAATTAGTCTGGGTATTTGAATTATTTTCATCCATCTTTAATAAGGAAATGAAGGAAATTTTACTATGCCCAATGTTTGTAGAGGTAGTCTTTGGGCGAAGAAAATGGTTCTGAAACCTTTTTTTTAGTTTCAAAGCTTTTTTAGTACAAAAGTGAATAGAAATATAAAATTATTTAACCTTATTGTCTCCGAGGCCGACACCAACAGTCCGTTTGTAACTGGGGTTGGGTTCAAATCGCTGATATCCAGAACGAAAATTATATCAAGGAATCAGAAATCTATCTGTCTATGTTTGGGAAGATTTTGGTTGACTAACAATTTAATATTAAGTTATATTCGTTAGTTTTAAAAAATAAAGGTAATATTGATGATAAAACAAACATCTCAAACGTGCAATATAGAAATAAAACCAAGGAAAATTCTAGTTATTTTTGACGCTAAAACAAAAGTAAATTATAAGGCAAGCTTAAATAAAAATGACGAAGTTTATACTTACATTTGAACTATGTCGACGATTACATTTCTCTTGGGAATCACTAACAGAACACATGAATAGACTGGAGCCGTACGAGCGTGTAGCCAAATGGATTTACACATTTTACTTGCCAAGTTTATTTCAACATTTTCCTCAATTTAAAGTTGAAAAATTAAATAGATGAGGTTATATGTTAAAACCTTATTCAAGGCTTATTTGCTTTACACTGCAATCTTCTATGGAAAACGTCTATCTTTCTACAGAAAATCTGTAAGCCTTGGTTAATACTACTGATATTCTGGATATAGAGCCTAGCTAGAAGCCAGAAAAGTTGCCAGATAGAACTACCTTATTAATTCAAATTCATTTATTGATTTAGGTAACACAATGTACACTTATGATCGTCAATAAAGAAATAAATATTTAATGCTTCTAATTTTACATTTACTGACAGTTCTCAAATCAAGGGCGTTGAACGGACGAGACGAACTGCCAATAAACTCTCCGCCACTCTTTTTAATCGCTAATACTATGTAATTGTCTTAGTTTATTTCTTATCAATTATTAATAATAAAGTAAAAATATTGGTACACCTACGCGCTATACAACAAAATGATTAATCAAAAAGCTATTCAAAAAGACGTTTAAATCAAGTTCACCAAATAAATTAGGGCCACGTAAAAATTGTGGTAAAAATAGATGAAATGTTGCGTGTCAGATGGAACGGTAATACTGCAGTGGAGGTAAATAAAATTAATGAGTACTTTGCCCTGTACATGTCGGCTTAGAAGAGGCCGTGTGGGGGATTGTTGTTACCGATGTCAGAGACATATTTCGTGCGGTCAAATTAATGCTCGCGGAAAGGGGAAAAATGTTAACATTGGACTGAATAATTAAATATAATGAATCTGTCCTATTAAGGAGAGATTTTGGCAACTTTGATATGGGTTTTATGAAATGAATTGGTATGGGCAGATATTTTAACTTTTTTTTTAATACCTTCATTTTTAATTATGTATGTTTTATTTTTAACCAACATTTAAAAACCCAAAGGTGTTGTGTTGTTTTTAAGTATGTTCATTAAGAAGAATTTTTAAGTTACATCGTGATTGTTGTATTACCCTCATTTCAAATCTATCGCCACTACTGTGTTTTTGTATTTGTGTAGTATATTCTAGCGTCTTATAATGCTGTGGCCTTCCTTTCATTTAAGTCATATAGTGTCCTTCAATTACTAATTTTGTTTATGGGTTTTTTTTCGTTGTATTTCGAGTAGTGTCATGGTTTTTATAATTTATTCAAACTTCATCCAATATATAAATATCTTAAAAACAGAAACAAAGCCAGACATATACGTACTTACTAACATATATTATGAGTTAACAGTTAATTAAGTCACTGAAAAGATTTCAATAGTAACCGATCCAATAATAAGCTAAAAATGTTTTTATATACCCTCTATTAAATTAATTGTTAACTAATCTAGAACTAAATTTCGTAAAGGAGTTACAGGGCCATATTATTATATAAATAGCTGTACCACCCTCGGTGGTTGCGTGATATTAGCCTTATAGCATTCCTTATTCCGGTAATTGGATTATCAAAAAATAATTGTTCAATTCGAAATAGTTCCTAGTTTGCATTCAACCAAACTTAGCAGCTTTATCTACTTTGGTTCTTAGCGCTGGTTCAACAGGCATCTCCTGGATAGATGATGATGCCTCTAATAACTTAACTTAACTTACACAACTAAACTTAGTTGGGATGATGTAGTAGTAGATGAATAGTGTATTAGCTACTACTGTAAACATTTGAGATAAATAGAAGTGTTACTTATTGTATACTCAACTAAAAAAAATGTATTAAATGATAATGATTATTACATTTGCGGCCTCTCGAATAAAGGGAGAGAAAGAACAGACGAGAACTGGCAAGTAACTCTTTGCCACTCTTTAATTACCAACTATTTTATTTTACAAGATGCTTGAAGGATCCATTACATCTCGCTCCACATGACATGGAGAGATATAAATAATCAAACATTTAGCCTGCATGGCGAAATTGGAGCACGCGCTTATATAATTGTATATATACCTGTCATTTTCCGAGCGGCTTGATTTCTTGGCGTTGCGTAGAGATGTAGGGTTTCTCAGCGTCTTCTATCGCATTTACCATGAAGGTTCGAAGGAGTTGTTCTGACGACCTGCAGTTGAGTTTCCGATGTGAGATCTGTGTTAACGATGTGTGGAACCTGCCCGTCGAGGTATATCTGCACCAATACGAATTAGATGTCTTGAAGTCTTAAAAGACGCTAAAGCTACAAGTTCTTACCACCCATGTGTTAAGTCTAATTGAAATGTGTATATGGTTAGATAAGTTCGTGTAAGTTATAAGACGACTTTACTGCTAATTGTATCACTTTGTTGAGCGCCCTGCGGCAGAGAAATGGCACTTGTTATCGCTCCGATTATATCTCAACTTCGACTAGAGGAAATCAGGCTGTGGCCTCCAGTTAATTGACTAACTTTGCGCCGTACTGGACAATATCGCAATCTGCAATTATTGTTTGTTCGATAACTTCTAGTTATGGCGGATATAATACATATAAAAATATTTAGTTGTATATTCAGAAGAGTAGTCCGGGTTAATGCATGCTGCTGAGTTTCATCATCCGACGTCGAGGCAGAATAGGAAATTCCACCCGTATCACCTCGACGTCCGTCATTCCACAACTGAGTGTTTTTTAAGGCAGTTTTTGCCGCGCCGAAGAATTTCCGAAACTGACTTAGGGTCCATCAAGAAAAGAGGGTATCAATTCTTAAAACGCCGGCAACGCACTCGCGAATTTAATTCATTGAATTGTCATTAAAATATTAAACTAATAAATTAATTTTCTTTTATTTATTTCTTCGATAATAAAATCACGTGGCATTTTTATTTACAATTCGTCATTTGAGATTTCAATAAATTATTTTGCATAAAATATAAAATACTAATATTTCATAAATTCTCTTAACGAAATTTTTCCCTCACAATCGATCCCAATCGCTCTCTCCCTTTTCTTCGACAAAAACGCTGCAAATCTTCGTGACATATCCGTAAAAATTTTACCCTCATGCGCCTAAAGAAGTTTCTCTTCAAAAATACGCAAATATTTACAATAATTAAGTTCTTAAACTGTCAGTTATTTCATTATAGTTATTAAATCGCACCTAAAAGTGGGTCAGCGGAAGTATATTCGTCTACCATCACAATGTGGAGCATTTTTAATGTCATTAAATAATGCAATGTAAAATCGTATATCAAAATACAGGAGTGCTGTGCTATTGATCGCGCGTCACTGCACTAGACAAGCAATTAGATTTCGCTCCCACGCGCTGGCTGTATAAGCGTGGGTATTTTTATTATGGGACGTTTATATTCATAGCGCCGTGTGAAATATTAAAATGTCTGCACTAGATTGTGTGTGTGATTGTATTTGTATGTATGATAGATCGTCTAGGTTTATTTTTGAATGGCATAAACTGTTGTCTATGTACCTGGGACGTAATCGCTTCTAGGTTGGTTATAACCCTTTGCCGGCGTAAGATTTGTTGGTAGGTAATCACTGGATGCTTCTGTCTCTTTGAATAAATAAATTTTTGTTCAATTTGTCTCGTATCTTTGTTTTACCATAAGTAATGGTAGATATTACAAAGAAAGAGGTCCAAGACGTCTCAATTCAATTTTCAATACACTATTCTAGTCTGTGATTAAAATTTCTAGTCTTTGACGATTGAAATATGTTTTCGTTTATCGTAACTGTCCATTATTAGTTAAAAAAAATAATCAGTGGCGCTACAACCTCTTTAGGTCTTGGCCTCAGATTTCTGAATCTGTTTCATGAATATTTTAAAATCTTATAGGCTAGTAGGTGATCAGCCTCCAGTGCCTGGACACGCCGTCGACTTTTTGGGTGTAAGACATGTCGGTTTCATCACGATTTTTTCGATGCTCAAATTTGTGCACAGCCGGGGATCGAACCAACGACCTCAGGGATGAGAGTCGCACGCTGAAGCCAATAGGCCAACACTGCTCATTATTAGTTACTATTGAAAATTCTCTAGAAAAGAATGTTCATCTCTGTTGGTTTTTCTTTGTAATATGCTTGGAAAATTTCTCCGGTAAAGGGAATTTCAATTAGCTTTGTAACATGATTGTAGCGATTCTCTATGTTGTTGAACTCATCTCGATTTACATCCTACTCGATCCCTGAATAGACTGAATTAAGTCGATTTCTGAGTTCCAATAAAATTCTAGGCATCACTTACATTAAAAACATGATCTGATAGGAAAACTTGTAACCCTCCAATGTCTAGGGCAGATATCTTTCTGCTTTTTGAGTCTTCTGTGCCTGAACTACGTACAACTGTAGAAATGTTTTTTATTATTTATGACTAACTACTACACAATAAATATAAATACACTTAATAGCTGAGCTGATGTGTATAGTGGTGTGGCGGAGCAACCAAACCCCTAGATCGAGAGAATTACAAATATACTCGTAAGACGACTATTGACGTGTTGCCAAGTCGAGTGCTAAACGACGACTCTTCTTTCGACAAGTGTTCTCCTTGCGCAGGATTGTATAATTCCATTACCTTTTTGCACGAATAGTTGTGTGTGAAGGAAAGGGATGGGAATAGTAAGGATAGGGTCTGGGTGTCAAACAATATATAAATATAGATACGTAGACTACGTGGCGCAACCATATAGTAATCCAAGTGCTATGTGATTCTCACCGTATATATTTTAGTGCTTTAAAGAACGTTTTCTCTACATTTTCACTTGTAACACATACATTAATAGTAATCAGTGTTATAATATTGATACACAATCAGTGTATATCAATAATATTTTTATTTAATAAATATATCATAAATAATCAATCAATCTATCAAAAACGTTACATTTTAAGCCCAGAAGACTAATTAAAAAATTAATACTGTCCGATGGTGACATGTAATTCGTATAGTAATCTCAAGCAAAAAAATAATACATTATAATTTTTACCATTACTAGAAATGTTTATAGAGTTTGTATTAAAAAAATATTATATATTTTTCAGAAACAAAGCACGAGTTAGAAGATCTCATGGCCGATATCAAGAAAACTGCGAACAAAGTTAGAGGAAAGTTAAAACGTGAGTTGTTATTAAATTTACTCGAAACTTTTATTGATTCCCACAGAAGAAATCACGGGTAATTGCGACATTTGAACAGGTATGGTTTCGTTATCGCTCAGTGCGAAAGTTTTTCAAATTATGAATGTTTATTTTTCAATTTATGGGCCTTTAAAAAAATGCTAATTGTAGTAGGATTTTTTTAATATCACGCTTTGCAATTCATATAGGATCTTAAATAACCTCCAAAAACTTTTTTTTTTATTCCAAAAAAATCTTCAGTTTTTTTCACTGTGCGCTTCCGTGAAATACCTATCATTCTAAATATCCTTTGGGACTGAAATAGTGAATTCTATTTTTAATACTTTTACTACAAAATACCTATTCCCGTCTATAGACATAGAGCAGAACATCGAACAAGAGGAGCACTCGAACAAATCCTCAGCGGATCTGAGGATAAGAAAGACCCAGCACTCGACGCTCTCTCGTAAGTTTGTCGAGGTCATGACCGAGTACAACCGTACGCAGACAGATTACCGAGACCGGTGCAAAAATCGGATACTCCGGCAGCTCGAGATAACCGGCCGAGCCACTACTGATGATGAACTGGAGGCGATGCTGGAGCAGGATAACCCGGCTGTGTTTACTCAGGGGGTGAGTGTTTAATCTGGTTATACATTTTATGTATTGAAATCACGAAGGGATCTCATCTGTTGGGGTAGTCATTACTCTCCATTGTTCCATTTCATTGGGTCCATAAGGTACTTTTTGCAGAATAAGGTATATAAAAGAAGTATATTGTAAAAAGAAAAGTCTGTTATATGGCGTACAAGCCTTTCATATAAATTCATTGTATATAAAAGTATTGTGTAAAATGCAATAAACTTCAGTTTTTAACTGTGCTTACAATTAAAAGCAATATATTTCAATAACATTGAAAACAATAAATTTTTAAATGGAGCCAAAATAATATAAAGAAAAATCTATTATCACAACACTTTCTTTATATATTTTTGATTTTACAGAATATTTTTGATTGTATATGCTCTACGGAAATGTATTGATTAAACCAGTACGTGACGAAGTTAATGAGCAAATATTTTTATAAAAAGATGATTTAAATTGTATTTCATAATGTAAAGTTAATATATTGAATTAAATATGTACAATATTCTTAAGTAATAATGATAACATTAAAAATGGATAAAATACATTTTAAAAGTTTGGTCCCTGTGCCAGTGCACCTTTAATGGTGGCACGATTTTCTCGCTGTATTGCGTTACTTATTCGTTGAGCGAGGAAAGCACCAGCTCTGGGGTCACCGGTAGAACCAACTTCAATCTTTAATTAGCGCCAGTGCACTTGAATCCCACGGCATTATTCAAAATCAAAGTTGGAGGAAAGTTTGATAAGAATCATAATGGCAAAAATATACTTTCCGAGGTGACACGGGCCTAATGTGTCTACACAAATGAAAACTATTTCTTAATTATATATAAAGAGGATGAGGTCAAACATCTAAACAATTAATGAACAATTATCATTACCAAAGCTTTATTAGGAGCGACATGTCATTAACAAATTTATTGGTCCAATACAAGCGCTAACAAGCATATTACTGCATAATACGGGATGTATTATGCGATATTCGTACTATCACAGTAATTGCACTCACGTGCATAATGACCCGCACCAAACTAATGTAATACACGCGATATATGTTGTAATGGTAAGTTGGCCTATCTTTCTAAGTATGAAGGTATGTTTGCATTGTGTGTATTATACTTTATATTTATTTACACTTACAAAACTGTACATACGTATGTACAGTGTAAACTCTTTCTTAAATCATTAGTTATGACGAAAATCTCTATATTACGTAAAAATGAGTTACATTTGCTTGGTACATGATTACTTTGTATGTTAAGAAAAACGTAAATATGTGTACTTGACTGTAAGTATGAATTATAAAGAACAGGTGGAAATTGGCTGACATTTGACAGATCCGACTATGGATCAAGAATGAATTTTCAACACTTCTAGAATTAACTGTCTTACGTCAATTTCAACACAAGGTTTTGCATACGCTGATCAAGATCTATTACAATCAGTTACGTAAATGCTTGTACCAGCTACGATTAAACAATCGTGTTTATGGACGACTGAACGTAAATCATAGATTTCCATTGCTTTTCAAGGACATGTGGTGGAAGGTGACATAACTAGCGCAGAGTTTCTAGCCAGTTCTTCGTTTCGCCCTTGAACTGGGAGAAAATGTTAATTTTTAGTCATTGTATTTTTATCAATAGTGTACACTATATCTGAAGACTTTATTATAACTTGAACTTTTGTCGCGTTATATTAAAGTCATTTTTCTTTTTATAAAAATTTAACAGTTAAAAAAGTGCGATTAATTTGTATTAACTGAATATATTGCTACTTTTTCGAAAATCTTTCGCGTTTTAATATAAAATGGGTCAATTGTGTGAAAAAAACACGGGTCTTGTTGGTAATAAATAACCCAGGGGATTGAATAAAGTATTATAATAAAAATTTAACAGTTAAAGTACGATAAATTTGCCCTTTTATCCTTAGCGGATTATTTAAATTTGCATAAACAATTCTTTTTGTAAGTAATATTATATTTATACAATATCGGTAAAGCAATGATCCTAATCAACGGATGAAATCACTCTTATAATTACGTAGTTACCTAAGAGTGAGATTACTCATATACCTTGCTCAATGTTACCAATGCACTATAACTATAATAATAAGACAAATGTTTAATGGTATTTTAAAAGTGCCAGATTTAGCGGATTGTAATTAAAAAAAAAGTATGAGTAGGCTATTTTTCGTGCGTGCTTACGTCCTTGACCTTGCTAGTCATAGTATTAACTTATTTCCTTATTTTTACAGTAACTTAATACTTATACAATAGAAAACTTTATTATAAAAATTTAACTAAAAACATAAATTAAACAAAACAAGAAAACGTAAAACCTAAACTTTTTTATAAATTATAAAGAATGCAATTCTTCTGACTTTAGTCAGTGTGCAACTAAATACATCCGTCTTACATGCAATAATATTTAGGGTATATGATAAATATCTTTATTAGGGATGCATCGATACGCCTTTTTGCCGATACGATACCGATACCGATACTCTTATAGAAATATCGCCGATTCCGATACCGATACTGATACTAATGCTTATTGAATTCAAATTAAATTAAGGTAAAATATATCAAGTTTGGTTAAAGTTTTTAATTTTTATTATAAAATATAAACAGTCACAAACTTTGAATAAGATTAAAGGTTTAGTAAATAAAATTAAGAATTAAGAGTAATAGTTAAATTAAAATAATATAAATAACTGTTAATAATTAAAATTATCATTGATAGGATTTTTGTAATTCTGTATTTTATTTAATTTGGTATTGAAAAAATACTACGCGCGCGCGATAGCAGTTAAAAACCAACTAAAGTGTCTAGCGAAATGGAATACGCGGGGACTAAGCGGGTGTGAGGGGCATAGATAGTCCGTGCCTCGTTTCCCACGCCCCAGATCGAACAAGATGCGCGTTTATATTACTTTTTTTAAAGCGCGAAATTTGAAAAGTATCGTTGTATCGGCAATTAAAATATCGCCGATACCGATATATCGGAAAACCCAAAGTATCGCCGATATATCGGTATCGGTATCGGATGCATCCCTAATCTTTATTAATAACCGTTAGTTTAGTAGTAACATTTCGTTTAGGAACCGCTTGTAGGTATACATCTAGCACTTGACACGCAAATACGCTAACGAGCCTATTTTTAAATATTAATGTTAAACGAATTAGTGTATAACGTTTAACCCTTTATATAGTACAAGTAGTAATATTTATCCTGGTTTTTAAAACAAACTATAGTTACAATTTGTTCAGTCGCAAGTGACTGTAATTTTGGGATAGAACAAATTTGTTTTCACACAAAAGAAATAATACAAAGTTTGAAGAAAACAATCTTAAAGTTAAATTAAATTTATATTATTACTAACTGACCCGGCAAACGTCATTTTGCCATGTATATTATTTCTAGGAAACATTTTTTAAGTTCAATAAACATAACTATCTACTATAATAAAAAATAAGGGTTGATCGTAGAGGGGTGACAATTAAGGGTTATACGTATTTTTGTATGCTGTATCATAAAAAAAAATAAAAAGTTTTGTCTAAAAATTAAACATAAAAATTTAGGGGGATGAAAAATAGATGTTGTCCGATTCTCAGACTTACTGAATATACATAAAATGTTTATAAGAATCGGTCGAGCCGTTTCGGAGGAGTATGGGAACGAACATTGTGACACAAGAATTTTATATATTAGAAGATACTGTGTATATTTTTATGAAAGTAATACTAGCTACTTATATAAAACGGGTGATGGCAATAACATAAAAAAAGAAATATTACAACAAATAATTTAATTATATACTCAAGCCTTCCATTGGTCTAATAGAAGATTTAACACAATATACCATGACTTGACTGTTCATTAAACAATTTCAGATTATAATGGAGACGCAGCAGGCGAAGCAGACCCTCGCCGACATCGAGGCGAGACACGCTGACATCATCAAGCTTGAGACCTCGATCCGTGAGCTCCACGATATGTTCATGGATATGGCCATGTTGGTCGAAAGCCAGGTCAAACACACTTTGTCTAAATATTTTATTTATTTTATCCAGAATAGAAGCAGTTTAAGTCAAAACACATTTTAATAATTTGTATTTTAAAATAGATTGTTTGTTTTCGAAGGTATACGAAACTTGATTCTCATAAAATTTCAATATAAAGAGGGTAGTTGTTAAAATACTACGTTCTTGATATTGATTTTCTAATTTCTCTTTTCAATCAACCAAAACATTAAAATTCGTTCTGTAATTTCGGAAGTGCGTTATCGAAGCAGTTTCCTGATTTTCGTCTCTATGATGCTGAATATTATATAGATATATATAATATTATATATATGAAATATTGATGAGGTTGAAGTTTATTTAAGATCTCGATAGCAACCTTGTCCTCATAATGGAGTTTAGAAAACTTATCAAGATTTTTAAAATCTAATGAAAGTGAATTTCTTTTCATATGAGAACTAAGCTATAATAACTTAATATTTTACACTTATTATACAAAGATTTTTTTTAAATTTATTAACAAAAGTTGAGATTTAACATAAATTTTCTATAACATATTGATTTTTCGATTATTAGGATTTAAAGTAGCATGTTTATTTTACTTTATCAAAATTAACAGTAATGATTATAGATGTACAATAATCTACTTGAATTTAAAATTATTTGACGACGTGCGTGTTTTGCAGTAATTTGGGTTGTTAACCTAATTTTTTTATAACTTTGCTTATGGTGTAAGTTTTAATGTTGCCATAACAGTAAATAATAATAATGGCTACAGGGTGAGATGATCGACCGCATTGAGTATCATGTTGAACACGCTGTGGACTATGTCCAAACGGCCACGCAGGATACAAAGAAGGCCCTAAAATATCAGAGCAAAGCTCGACGGGTGAGTTCGCCTCACAATTTGCTAATGCGTATTTTTTTTGTTTACCCTCCTACCCTAAACCTCCTACCCTCCGTTTTGTTTTCGTGAAATTCCATTTACGAATTGGTGATTGGTTCACTGGCTTTAATTGTTGAAATGGAAGTGGGCTTCTATTGTGTGCGTAATTTGCCTAACATTATGAACTAACACTATGTATGTCTTTGTTTATTCTTCGCCTGTTGTAACGCTATGAACTAACACACTATGTATACCTATATATGTTTTCGGTCGGTTTTATATTTATTGTCATACGGCTGGTTCCGCTGTGGGTCTAATGTTTGAATTTCTTTACTCGATTACTAATTTATGAATTCTATTATCTATATCTATTAGATTTTCGGTTTTAACAACTAATATGAACCAATCGGCCGTTCGGAACCGCGTCCCATTCCCCAGCGCCTTACCTTAGCGCGAGCAGGGCGAGTTAGTTGACCGCATCGAGCATCATGTCAGTGAAGCGACAAACTACGTGGAAACCGGCGGGGGCGAACTAGTCCAGGCCTACAAATGGGCGAGAAAAGCCAGGAAGGTATGGGCTACGATATAAAATGGGCCTAAGATGGATCTAACCAAACTTTCTATCGACTACTAAACAATTTCTATCGACTAACAAGGAATGTTTTATTGACTAACAACCAGGAAGTTTTGATTGGCGAAAATAATATCTTCGACTGGTGGCGAAGGTTTCTAAGAATATTCCTACTACCAATGAAACCTCTTAACTACTAAGAATGTACCTTCGATCAACTACTGCGGTTTCCATTTACTTTTTCTTTCGACTCAAAGCAGAGGGAGATAATCCGATCAGGGATTGTACGAATTTCTTCTTTATTTCGCTTCGTTTCTCTTCGCATGAACAATATTTGCATGAGTTGTTTTGATTTTAATTACAACTAAACTTATAATTAGGAGACATGCTCTATACACTTATATATAACATCAAAAGGAAATCGAAATTCTAGATAATTTTAAATAAAGTATTCATACATTTTAACACATCTGTCAGTTTTGTTAATACTTGTGAACTTAATTACTTAAAAATTCATGGTCTCTCACCACCACTTGCTTCATGTCGTATGCTATAAGTTAAAATTCAAGAGAACTATTAACCCATATTGTAAAATAAAATTTAAATGTAGCTTCAAGCGTCAAAGCGTTGTATGAAGTCTGACGTATTTAACAGCACTTTATATCAAATAACTGTCAAAAGTGTTAAAAGTCAAAAGTAACCACCACAAGGTTTGACAACGCTTGACAGTCAACATTTTGGAATTTAAACGTTCGACAATTCTTTGAAGCATTGTGGTCGTATCGTGTGCTTTAGCCTGTGCTTTCGCTTAATCTATGTACGCTGTTTTTGGCATATCCCGCTTATAGTATGTGCGAAACGATAACGTCGTGGGAATTAAAGCAGCTGAAATTCTAAATTACCTTTGTTGACAACTCTTTTACGTCATTACAGTTCGACTCAGTATTTAATATGTAAATAAATGAAAATAACACGTAGCAACACGTGTTATAAGAATTAAATCACTTCGCACAGACTAAAAATTGCTAATTTGCTGGTAGTGAAAGTCGCCAGTTTCTATACAAAACATACATTTGTAAAGAAACCAGTTTAGCTGATACATGTTATTTTTATGGGTATTATGGGGTAGGGTATTTTGACAATTTTATATTCTAAATCTTTCCTTCACTTTTGATATTTATCTATATCACCTTGACGTCCGTCGTTCCACAACTGAGCGTTTCTTAAGGCAATTTCTGCCTAGCACCACTACTATGTGGAACCAGCTGCCCACTGAAGTATTTCCGAACCAATAGACCTAGGGTCCTTCAAGAAAAGAGCGTACTAATTCTTAAAAAGCCGGCAGAGCGCTTGTGAGCCTTCTGGCAGTGCGAGTGTCCATGGGCGGCGGTATCACTTAACATCAGATGAGCCTCCTGCCCGTTTGCCTCCTGTAACATTAAATATAAATCATTTAATTTCAAATGAGAGAAGTCTCTGACTGATTTCGGTTTTATAAGTGTGTTATGTCAATAACTGGTCAATGTATGTCTATATCACGCAAGTTAACTGTAGATCTGCATTTTGTATGTCGCAGTTATTTTAAACAGCTATTAAGTGGGTATTTTGGGTAGTTTTAATGCATGACATTGCTAACCTAAAAAGAAAACAGATAATTTTAGTTTGCTCAAATCAGTATCTTAGAATTATATTATACATCGTGTCAGCGCCAAATTGAAAATTGATTTCGTAGAATAAAACAAAACGTGTGTGTACTTATGTACACGCGTTAGAAGTTATACTTCTTTGGCGTAACAAGATAAAAATCTTTTCAAAATTTTTATTCTACGTTTGTAGAAAAAACGACACTAACAATATAAAAAAAATAAAATGTTGACTATAGCTTACTTCAGGCTGTCGGTTTTAAGTGACGGTGTTCGCGCGCATCGCAAAAATTTACTCATCATTTTTCCCTAACGCGCCAAAGCAGGAATAATTTTCAGCGAGGCCATTAAGAATATATAGATTGGAACTTACAGATAGATAAAGTGATACTAATTAATAATATATATATGTTAAACGTAACAATTTTGAATATCTTCAATGTGGTATGTTCCACCAGCAACCTTATATTAATATGTAAACGGAACATGTTCGCATTGAATATCGTCAATATGTACGAATACTTGGAGAAATCGTGTCTGTGCAATCGCAAAAATAATATTTGGCGCTGTCACGCTCGTAGCATGTTTTTTTGATCCATTTTATTTTATTTTTCCCTTTGTCATTCCAGAAAAAAATCTTCCTCATAATATGCCTGTCAGTTACGCTGGTAATATTAATAATAGTGCTAGCTGTTGTGCTGAAATAGTTCAACGGAGCTCTGACGTGATCAACGAACAATCTAGTGAAACTGTACGCTAATGCGTATTCTAAAACGTGTATCTCTCCTGAGTTGGCAATACGTGTTGGAATACGGGCAATCAATAGTGCTTGGCAATTTCATTATTTTATATTAAATTGAAGGAAACCCCCGATTTAGTTGATAGTAAAAGTGATTTTGTATTAAGCCATGCTAATTATGCGAACGGAGTTGACATTGAATTAATGATTTTAAAAGCCTGCAACGCACTCGCGAGGTCTGTCATTAGTGTCCATTGGGTATCACTTATCAAGTGAGCTTCCTATCTGTTTGCCCCGTTCTTAAAAATGGCGTTCATAGAAGTTACTAAAAGGTCAATATTTCCGGTTATCAAATAAAAAATAATATGTTCTTATCATTAATACGTTAATTCAATGTACTATGAAACCCTCTAAAGTTCATCCGTGACGTCATCGTTTTTGAACGGAATGATGACGCCATTTTTTTCGCTAAGTGTGCTAAATTGATTTAGTCTTTACAATTTAGGCGATTTATTTAAATTTAATCCTACTTTTTAAGACAATACGTGTAAAGTGCAATAAATAAATTGTACTTATAAGTGTATATAGTGATTATGTAAATATTGTCGCGTGTGGAGCATAAACTATGTTAATAGACCTGTTATTTCTTTCTATTATTACGTGTTATTATATTTCAGATTTGGGTTTTTATACATTTTAGATCATCTATTAGTTTTCATTAATATACAAATACAGTTGTTAGAATTATTATTAAGTGTACCTTCAAATAGCTTGTTCCTATCTCTCACATTATACTTTGCAAGTGAGTACACAAAACAAAGCATTCTACTAAAGCTTTCAAGTTATAGGTAAATATTTATGAAAACCCAAAGCTGGGACATTCGAAACTTTAACTGCTATAATAACTTTGCATTTAATATTTCTAATTGTTCCTAAATTTTTGATATGGATTACTTGAGATCACAACCAGTATTTTTTAATATTAGATATGTTAATGCACAATGAGTTTAAAGTGACTCAAATTTGATTAAAATGACGTGGACTTGAAAATGGCCATGTATAATATACCATCCATAATAATTGGTTATAAAAACATACAATAAGTCTCAATTAGTTAATTAATGTTCTTGAATGAGAGGGATGGGCATATATTTGAGGCATTTTGCTGTTAGTGAGGGTACTTTTGTAATTCTTTAAACTACCCTCCATCAAATTTGAAGTCACTAAGTATGTACTTACTAATAATTACTTTAGATTGTTATTTATTAATATCGGAATGTTTATTTCAGTATTTTGTTCCTATTCGGTTGATATAGGGACGCAGTTGACTTTTTAATTAATTAAAATCTATGATTTGAAAGATGTTGTAAGAAATTTAATGTTTTATTGCCAGTTTAAAAATGTTTGTCATGTTTGATGTTATCTTCGCATTTAATTGTATAAATTAAAAATTACTATAGTACATATTATAGTTACGAAGCGCACATGTACGTTATATCATATTGTTGCTAGTTAAAAAAATCTGTGATTTTTTTATTGTTAGTATTTGTAATCGCATATGTTTTTCTCTGTGTTCCGCATACGAAATATTTAAAAGCGAAGTTCATTGTAATCTTTATTATTTGCGGGTACCCTTATAAAGACTGTGGGATTTATTGCTATTTAGAGGGCTCATTTGTTAAAAAAGATACAAACTATGTAATAACAAAGTGTACGTTTGCATAATGAGGGTACCTCCTGCATCACATTGAGGGTATCATCAAAAATTACGTTTCAAATGAGACCTCTACAATCGAACAACAAATGTAAATATGTTAATATTGAGAATTACATTTATTTATTTTATTTTTTTGGTTTATTTTTTTTCCTTGGCAAATGACGCACACACGGCCCTATTAGTATTTGGTATAAAGCGTACTGTTGCATGGTCTACTACAGAAGAAGATTATGATCCTTGTTTGCCTGCTCATACTGGGGCTGGTCGTCGTCGGCTACGTTTCGAGTTACTTCCTGTGAGGGCGACGGCGGTTGAGGTAATTTGTGCGCGGCGGGTCACGAGGGAACAGGGCTATGGCTTGCTTACTTACTATTTCAACGCATGTATATTGATTTTAAATAAAACAATTATTTATTACGGATAATAAATTTATGCTTTATTTAATTACTGGCACAAAACTTGACACTTCAGTGACAAGCGGCTATTACAAGTATATACTGAGGTAATTTTTTTTTATTATTATTTTGTAACAGCCAGTAAATATAGACTATTATTTATTTTTCAATGACAGTTGACTATTTAAAGACAGTTTTACTGGTTCATGTATAACATATTTGACACTTTAAACGATTTAAACTTAATGGTAGATAACGGTACGTCAAGATAAATAATTTTTGTTTATGATTTTATTTGTCAATAGTGTGTTCCGTTTTTATGAAAACGGAATTTTCATATAGTTGGTAACAAAACACGGGTTGTTTAAATTCGGTCACACTTTGGTCATTCACAATTTTAATTACTAAAGTGTGACCAACTTTAAAAACACAGTTGTTAAAGGCATCAGTAATATTGTAACATTGACAATTGACATGTTCCTTGGTCAAGTAAGCAAGTCTTAAACCATAACCTCGTGCCCGCCGGTCTAAACTAGTGTACTAATATGTGTTGTATTTGTCATTGTGCAGAAGAAGATTATGATTATGCTGTGCCTACTCGTGCTCTGCCTCATCGCGACTGCCTACGTGTATAGCACTTTCTTCTGAACGGGGCAGGTTGGACTGGATTCCTCTGGCATTTAACGGTCCGTTATCTCGTTTGAGACAACTGGCGGTTAACATGTCGGTGTCTAGTAGATCATCGCGTAGATATTGTCGATCAATATTTTGGAGATTATTTGCATGACGCATTACTCCATTTCGTAGATAGATTATCATTTGCATTGGAGATCTAAGATTTCAGGGAATCGTTAAAATATGGATCGCGAAAAATTCTAAATTGAGGCCCAGCCTAATCATTTGTGTCGATTGGTATGTGTTGTGACCCCTTAATTAGGAAATTAAATTCCCGATACTTGGAGATGGCATTATACATTATTTATTTACACAATCTTAGTGCATGCTACACAGTATCCTAGGCAAAAAAAATAGTGCCTATTGAATTAGTTTTTGATGCCATTTTAAAATAATATAACCTAAAAGAGCATGGTCCATATAGTATTCATAATGAAATATAAAAACATACTCATTAGGTGAATTCAATATTTAAACATTTGGTAATCATATTTGGGAGTTATTTTACTTCTTAGATAAATTTCTAAATTATTTAAGAACCGAGAACTAAAATAACCTTAAAATTTAAAAATTCAACTAAACTGATACGTATTATACGCCATTTTAGATATATAAACATTACTTTAGTAATCAAGGCTTATAGTACGTTGAAATCTTACAGCCCCTGTAAAATGTATGTTTTCATATAAAAGGTTTCTAAGTAATAGGACGTAATTTTTCAGGAGCATGAAAGCAAGTTTGTGTTTGGTGCCTACGATCCACCCATACTATCTTCGGAGCTCCTTTACTTAATGTTATTCAACTCGTGTTACCTATATGTTATCTATAAGGATTCAATTACATTCCATTTCCAAAGGAATTCTATTATAGCCCCGCTGGGACATAGTTATATGACCGATGACGTTCATGACACGAAATCTAGTTTTTTTGCGCGACTTGTACTCTTGCTTCTACTGGTTCTAATCCGGACTACCTTTTGAAGTAGATCTTGTTACAGTAGTTCGTTAAGTTAATATCCACAGATAGCAATTAAATAATATAAAAATGTGTTCTGTATTTAATCATGTGATAACTATAGCTCGTGAAGCATATGACACATCCGCGGTGTTGTTGAAATGTCAAATGTCACTTTGACATATCACATTTGCGGACGCGTTGACTGTGCTTAACGCTTCAACACCATAGAGTCGAAATATCGACATTATATCATAAATGTGATACATTTGACTTCATGGATTTCTAATTAGGTCTGTTTTTGGAAATATTGTAGTATAGGATTATGCGAGGTCTTTTGCAGGTATGGTTATGCCATTACAGCCTTTATAATAGAGATATTCCAAAAACAGCTATACTTAGCACACTGTATATTGCCTTCCTACATTCCGCATAATCATGACTGCAGTAGACCGTAGTTCGGTTTTGTCGCGTGCTCCTCGAGTGACAGAAAACAGTACAAATTTTGTAGTTATAACGCCCACTGTTCACTGCTGTGATAAATCCTATACACGCAAGACTCTTTTATTTAACTACTAAAAGAAATCTCCTGGTATCAATTCGTCTTAGTATAAGAGTGTTCACAGCCGTGGCAGTAGGCCTGTCTGTCGCGAAAGGCCGCGTCGTTTGCCGTCATAGCAATAATGTTCGATACAATTTGTAAAATTGTTTTAAACTTTCGAATGTGTGATAGTAGCAGTTGTTTAGTTAACATTAAATGATAATTGTTATCGCGAGTAACATTTTGAACGGCGAGCGCTTCGGTTGAATTAGTCGGAATAATTGTTCAATGTTAGCGGAAGTTCTGTTCGGTAATTTAAGCCCTGCGTTGTACAGTAATACATAATGTAGCCGTTATAGCTAGGGTAATTTTTTAATAAATTATTGTCAACTTATTACAAAGTCTTCAGCAATACGATGTAAATGTATGTATGAGCGGTACTTATGTTATATGTAATATTACACGTAGAGGTAAAGCTCGAAGTAAAGCACCAATAATTAAATTAGTATTTTCTTAATATTATTAGTATTTGCGGTATCGGATGGATTGTGAGTCATCGCCCGGACGTATAACGGCACTAAATATAAAATCGGACGGACGCCATCTCGTGAGCCGAGCGTGCACTTGTAAAGAAAGCAATGTTAATTTTAACATTTATAGTGTAATTAGATTTTTATTAAGAGTAGGATTCCCTATAGTTGCCTTTGGAATCGTAGAGAATGTAATATAAAATTTTCTCTGTAGATTCATTACGGTGTCACCAGTATTTTTCACTTGGCAGTCAATTGTATCGCTTACGCGTGGCGCCTCTCGTGTGTGTCCCATCGCGCTGACACTAGCTAGTTGCCTCTTTCATTGTCTCTAGGATAAGTATTGAGTCGATTTAGGTGGAGAAACGCTTGCTAGAGTGGCCTCCGTTAAGTCTGCCTCAAAGGCTGCGAACTCGACACCAAGATAGGTAATATAGGTGCGACGCTACGCAGCGCCGCAGCAGACATTTCGCACAAGGACGAACGCGAGCGCACGGCGGCACGCCACGTGCCGGCCGTCTCCCTCGTTCCGCGTTTGTAACGTAGAGTAGGCAATAAACTTCTAGTCAGCTTTCAATGATCTCTATTTATCTATATCTTAAATCGTAATATTGCAGACGTATTATTCTGTTACTAGTACTGTAAGTGAAATCTTCGTGTTCAAATGTAACCATAAAGCCGCTACGATCTTAGGTTCGTAACAGACGCGTTGAAACATATTAATCTTAAATCTAGATATCGTCATATTCAGACCTACTTATCAATAGTATGCATAATGTTATTGGATTGCTAATTTTGTGTGAGAACACAATTAGTATAGTTTATATATACTTATGTGTCAATTCTTATAGCATTTTATTACATTAACAGAAATGATAGCTAGTAAGTGTTAAAGATTATTAACTTATTTTGAAATATCCACCGATGTTTCTTTGTTTCGAAATTTTTACGTTTGTTAATTCTAGTCCATATAAGTAACATTCCTTATACAAAGTTCATACGTTATTGGTAGCGTTAGGAAAGCTCATTTTGAAATTCCTATGTATTTTGTCCCGCTTTGTGAATTTATGCAACAACGAAAAAGGATGTATTATTAAGATTTTATCAGCTTGCTTAAATACACGTCAACATTTAATTTAAACCTAAGTTGAGTCTTTCCCTGAATTATTTCAATATTTACCCTTACGCATTTCAAGTACCTACCTGTATTCCCTTTAATGAAGTTATACCTATAATCGTGGTTTATATTTAAAGTTGGTGCATTTGAGATTGCCCGAAAAACGTGAACAAATGACAAAGATCTTATTAAAAAGTAGAGTCGCTAGTCTTTTACATAGATTCTTTCTAAAATCGACTACATTTTGGGCTTTCTATTTTCAATCTATTCGATGTTGCTTCGCAGTTCGCGTTGAATAATGTGAAACATTATTGATGTTTATATAGGATTTATTATGATTATATTATTTTTAAAATGTTATTTAATCAGAAAATATTACCTAGATTGATTAGTAAGTAAAATTTTGGTTATTTTGTAAAAACGGAAATTGGTATAAAATATTCGTACAGCAATTTTCTTGTACTCAAGATAATCACTTATAAAAAGTACCTACATAGTTATAATAATTCATTCAACATTATTGTGGTTATGACATATTATTGTAAATTATATAACAGTGAGATTCCGAACACAATGTAAAATTCAAGTTAGATTTGTTTTATAGTTATATTCTGTACGTAGGTTATCAATCTGAAATTCTCTTATAATTATAAAATAAACGGTGTTTTCTGCTGTGATATGTATTTTTATTATTCCTCTGAAAATAAACAAAAGTTACCGTAACCGAAATAAATGACAAAAGGAAAAATAAAACACTATCTATTAGTTTATTCTGTAGATTATAAAACTTGCTTTATTTTCCGCCAGTTACATTTTAATTAGACTAGACAACTTGTGATCTTTGTTATTAAATTAAAAGCAACTACAGACTTAAAATATTTAGATTCGAAATAAACTTTCTGCTATAAGTCGACGAGCTACCATAGAAGAACAATTTCGTAATTGTAGTTTGATTAGTGTATAATTATCGTTAGTACATAATGAATAACATAAAAATATGTTTATTATGGAACATAAGATACATGTATCACTTATTCCACGTCATTAAATTTGAAGGCATCCCTACTCATCGGCAAAGAAGACAGAGGGTGTAGGCCGAGAGAAAAAGCCGGCGTAAAAAACTCTCGGTACTCTTTTAAAACAGCAAATCATCAAACAACACTTATTTAAAACAAATATCGCAAATTGATTAGAAGTAGCCTGTCTAGCACTAGTCCCAGGCCCTTTTATCAACTAGATAATCGTTGACTTTATAGTAAGCCTTTTTACTCAGCTTTTCTTTAATACATTTTTTAAATTTATTGAAAGGCAGTGATAAAAGAGCCTCTGGGATTTTATTAAAGAAGAGTATCCCTTTCCCCAAAAAAGAATTACTAACTTTAGATAGTCTAGTACGGGGAAATTGCAGCCTGCGTTTGTTCCGTGTATTAACATTGTGCGTATGTTCTATTCTAGTAAACTTATCACTATTTTTGTATACATACATAATATTTTCATAAATATATTGCGAGGGAAAGGTAAGTATATTAATTTCCTTGAATTTATCTCTAAGAGATTCCCTACATTTTAAATTATAGATTGCACGAATAGCCCTCTTCTGCAGGATGAAAATAGTTTCGACATCAGCAGCATGACCCCATAATAATAAGCCATAAGTCATTAAGCTATGAAAGTAACTAAAATAAACAAGTCTAGCTGTATCGACATCAGTTAGTGAGCGAATTTTTTTTAACCGCGTAGGCTGCAGAACTAAGTCTCTTCGCCAATCCGTTAATATGAGGGGACCACTGAAGTTTTGAATCCATGGTGATTCCGAGAAATACAGTTGTATCATCCAGATTCAATTCCTCACCGTTTATAATTGGTCTAGTATCCATAACCCTTGCATTTTTTGCACAAAATTTAATGCATTTTGTCTTTTTTGCATTAAGTAGAAGGTTATTCATACTAAACCAATGGACAATCGAAGACAGAGCATTGTTCACATCGTCAAATAATGAATAACATTAGGCAAAATGAAAACCTTTCCAAGACTGAAGAGACTGGAGAGTTACATATAAACTTTAAGAACCTTGGTCTGTTCGGAAAGAAAACCGGTATGACAGTTATGCGAACGAGCGCCTTGACAGTATATATAAAAGAAAATAATTCGTTCATTATTAAATCAATTTACTTATTCACAAAAATTACGTATTTATATTTTTTTCATATTAAGTATAAAGATAATTATTACTATATTGATGTGACAGTTTTGTCAACATAACGAGTTTAGCACTTCTGAGTTCGGACTTCGCAAAATTACGTCGGTTGATGGCTCATTTCACTTCACTTTATTTATAATGGCGACATCTGTGTAAATCACAATTCCGCCAATGTCACGTTCTAAGTCTTCACACAGTGAGGATAGATTTGATAATTTTGATACATTGAATTTTATCTAAGCAGAGTTACCCAAAACAAAAATGACATCACAATAAATACAACACACACAGAAATCTAATAATATATACAAGAGGTTAACATTTTACTACAAGGTATGAAGGGGAGAATCTTATTTATAACTTTAATTTATTAACAGAAATAAATTTCCCTAATATTTTGACGATCGAGCTGGATGGGAGGGAAAGTAGGGAGTTAAGGTTACATGGACGAGGGAAATCTGGAGAAAGATGGTCAAATAACGAGTCATTATTTAAAGAACAGTTAAAAAATATATGGTCTGTCGAGCCCTCGTCCATACCACACTCACAGAGAGAACTGTCTTTTATTTTAATTTTGGCTAGATGAACGGGAGTACAAGCGTGCCCTATACGAAGACGGCAGATTATAGACGTGACCTTTTTGTTTAAAAACTTATATTTAAAAACCACGGCGAAGAAGGGATTGAATACTGAATATTAGCATAGTGCCTGCCAGTTTTTTCTTTAGAAGATTGCCAATCAATAGTCCAGGATTTTAAAAGGTGGGAGTACGCAAGAGCTGATAGGTCGTGGGCCGAGATGTTGGGATGCTGACAAGATCCGCAGAAAATAGCACCTTTTGCACAAGAGTCAGCAGTTTCATTACCCGCTATACCACAATGACTAGGTATCCACAAAAGTACAATATGAATATCTTTTTTACTACACCTAAACAAAGCTTCTCTTATTTTTAGAATCGTATTATGTTTTTTTTTAGACCTGAATGGATTGGAAAGAATTGCCTGTAAACAGCTGCGAGAATCGGAAAAAATTGTAACTTTATTTAGGTTGTGGGACTCAGCATACAAAACCGCTTCTAGGATTGCAAAAGCTTCACCTGAAAAAACGGAGGTCAATGGAGGAAGTTTAAAGCTCAATACTGTTTTGAATGAAGGGACCCATACAGCCGCACCGATGCACTCATTATTGGGAATCTTGGAAGCATCAGTATACATCGATAACCAACCCTGCCAGTCTTTTGAAATTTTTTCCAGAAAACAAGTGGAAGCTTGGGTGGATTTTTTTTCAATTCCAAAGTTTAAAATTATTTTAGGATCAAAAATGAGGGATTCATAACTATTTAAAAACAAGGGATTCCTAGGGAAACTTTCAACAGGATTAGGAAGACGAGAAAGTTTATTAAAACTGTGTAACAGGCATGGAACATTACCTGTACTAGATGGCATCGTGAGATTAGATAAGCGACGTAATTTGGACAAGATGGAATGAGAAGAGTATTGAAGGACTTTGATGAAGAAGCGGTCACTTAAAAATTGTCTACGTAAATACAGGGGGGGGTCAACACATTCTATTTGGAGAGCATTGATGGGAGAGGATTTCATAGCACCAAGGATGATGCGTAAAGATTTCGATTGAATTTTGGAAATTTTATCAAGGGCTTGCTTGTTGCCAGGATCTAAAAGGAAGGTGCCATAATCAAAATGACTTCGTACCACAGCATTGTATAAAAGCTTTTGCGAGTAGGGGTGTGCTCCCCACCTCACACCAGATAATGAACGGAGAACATTAACACCCTTCTCACTTTTTTAATCACATGGTTAAAATGAGGAACACCGTTTAACTTTGAGTCTAAAATAAGGCCTAAAAATTTTACTTGCTTACAACACGATACCAAGGACCCTTTATATGAAATGTTACACCGTGGAACCTTGTATTTTGTAGTAAACGTGACCGCCGAACATTTGGGCACAGAAATAGAGAGACCATGATCATTTAACCAATCACCCAAATAATCCAAAGCTGAATTTAGGCGTGATGATGCCTCTTCAATAGAATTTGATGAAAAGTATAAGGCTACATCATCCGCGTATTGAAGAATCTGACAGAAGGAATTCACAACAAGCTCCAGGTCATAGGTGTAAATGTTGTACAGAAGAGGACTCAAAACAGAACCTTGAGGTAAGCCCCTCCAAATAGATCTAGGAGACAGCTCCGTATTTTGAGATCTTATAATAATATAACGATTCGAAACTGCATTGCAAACAAAACGTACCAACTTCTCAGGAATACTCAGCTGAAGCATTTTTTGCCTGAGCACCGGAACCAGCACGTGGTCATACGCAGATGCGATATCCAAGAAAACACCCACCAGGAACTGTTTCTTTTTAAAAGCAATGCGAATGTCGGTCGTTATTATACCTAGGCTATCCATCGTACTTAAGCCTTTCCTGAAACCAAACTGGGATTTTGCAAAGATATTGTTATTTTCACAAAACCATTCTAAACGAATTTTAATCAAATGTTCCATGATTTTTAAAAGGGTAGAAGACAAAGCAATAGGTCTGTATGAAGAGAAATCTGATGGATCTTTGCCAGGTTTTAGAAGCGGAATGACGATTTGTCTGTTCCACGATTCAGGAATAATTCCAAGATCGAAAAAACAGTTTATTAAATCTAGAAAGTACCTCTTAGTGCCTAATGCAGAATTTATGAGGAATGAGTAAGGGATTCCATCTTCTCCAGGGGAAGAGTCAGAGAGACCATTTAATGCTTTGTTAAGTTCTTCCAAGGAGAATTGACAATCTAGACTGTTTGAAGAGGGGATGTAAGAATTATACTTATAAGGAAGACAATCATAAAAGGGACTGATGGAGGAGCCAATTTGTCGGCAAAGGAGGTAATCCAGCTAGACGGATCATTAAATGGGACATCATAAGAATTGAGGGAACAACGGAATCTTCTGATCTGCCTCCAAACAACAGACGAAGGGGTACCAGGGCACATGCTCTCACAGAACTTATGCCAACCAAGACGTTTCTTATTATTTAGAAGTCTGCGAGCAGCTGCAGAAGCTTGTTGGTAGACTAAAAAAATTTCCAAGGTCATGCAAAGACTGTATGACCTTTCTGCCGTTTTTCTTTTTCGAATCATCTCAGTACATTCGGAATCCCACCAAGGAGGAGAAATTTTCCTTTGTGTAGAAGATTTGAGTGGAATATGTAAACTGGCAGATGAGGTGAGGGAGTTGACAAAATCATTGTATGAAGATAGGCAGTTTTCAGCAGAGACTGCGGGGAGCGCAGCTATCTTAGAGTCAATAGAAGATGAAAAGTCTGACCAATTGGCCTGATTCAGTTTAAATTTTAAAAGAGGGGAAGGGCGAGTAACGCTCCTTAAATTGGTTGGGAGATCAATTAAAATGGGGAAGTGGTCACTCCCACAAGTGCTCTTAAAAACACGCCAGGATAGAAAAGGGAAAGAGATCAGGAGAACAAAGTGATAAATCCACTGCGTTAGCGGGATTCTGAGATGGAAGACTCCTTCTCGTAGGACAACCATTATTCAAGACACTTATGTTTATATCATCGAGTAAATCTAGTAGAAGGGACCCAAAAGAATCTGAGGAATGACAACCCCAAGAAACATGGTGGGCATTGAAATCACCCAACATGACAACAGGAGGAGGAACCGAAAGGATAATAGAACGTATATCAGAAATGAGGTCGAAATGGGGGTGGGGAATATAAACAGAAATAAACGAGATATTAAAAGCTCTCATAGCAACAGCATTGATACCATCACAATGAGGAAGAGATAATGCGTGGAAGGTGAGGGATCGGCTGACCAAAAAGGCACAGCCAGCATAGCCATCATCCCTGTCATCTCGGAGACACCGGTACCCAGAAACCCTAAAGCGGGAACCCGGCAATAACCAAGTCTCCGAAATGGCTAGAATAGATGGAGCGAATTTATTGATAAGAAAGGTTAATTCTGATTTTTTACTGCGAATACTGTTACAGTTCCATTGAATTACCAGATTCGCCATTTTTGGTGACGAATGAGTGGAGCAAATTAATTTTTTGGGCAACGTGGGACGGTATGGGGATGTCATCATATTTGGATAGCATATTACAAATGACTGCCCATAAGCAGTCAAGAAGATTTTCATTTGGGGAGACTTCATTGTTGATAAGGGAAGGGGAGCTTACGGCACAACCATTGGGTAAAGAGGAGGGTAAATTGGAAGTAATGGCCTCATGGGCCGCCTTATCAAAGGATTTTCCTGATGTTGGTCTAGAGCGAGGAGGGAGAAATACAGTTTTCCTGTAAGATGTAGTCTGACGGGAAACTTGGGAAGGTAAAGTAATGGGCTGGGATAAAGAGGAGGGGGTTGTTTTTACAGAATCTGCAAAAGTTTTGCCATTGATGGGTCTAAACCGAGCCGATGCTTCGAGATAAGAAATGCTCTCTTGAGACATACAACTCTTTATATTTCTTTGTCGATTATGTTCAGGGCAAGCTTTGTTGGTCGCAAAGTGTGAGGCAGTACAAAATAAACATAATGACTCTGTTTCAGGGATATTACACTCATCACCAGAATGGGCTAGACTACAACGAAAACACCTAGGCTTCGATCGGCATTGTGACTTTACGTGACCAAACCTACAACAGTTAAGGCACTGAATTGTAGGGAGTTGGTACGTTTCAACGCGGAGGGAACTATGACAAGAGAATATTCTCTCAGGAAGGGTTTGACCTTGAAAAGTTAGAACAACGGTTTGTGTTGGGATCCAATTAATTTGACCATCGGAGTTCGTCTTGCGGTTTAGGCGTCTGGCCTTGAGGACTATACCTGTACCTTCGGGAATTTCCAAGGTTTCGACAAATTCCTGCATCGACCAATCAGCTGGGACACCTCTCACAAGGCCCATACGGGAAACATTATAGTTAGGAATCGTAACAGAATAGTTGCTGGAAGGTACAATGGGATTAGACACAAAATTATTCGCATCTAAGCCCGACTTAAACTCGACAGATATTCTATTACGTCCCACTCTCTTAACACCATCTCGAACAATGTTGGGTATTTTATTTTTTACCAAGAAGTGACCAAATTTAATTGGGCGGATTGATGTACCAGCGGATGGGTCAGATTCAGGGCAAGAAACATGGACTAAAAAAGGGCCCTTGTCATTGACAAGGTATGACTTGGGAGAGCCAGTGAGAGATGGATGGGAGTAAAATCCTGGGTTGACGTCATCAACAGATGACCGGACATCGGTCATTGGTTTTTTGGAAGGTTCCACTAAAGATTCATTGACAGTATCAAGTCTGCGCTTGACCCCAGGTTGGGGCAACAGTGGGGTGGATAAATCCATTGATTCCACCGGAGAAGAGACCCTATCCGGAGGATCAGGGGGTCTGGAGGGCGTTTCTCCATTATAGACTACCAAAAATATAACAAGGTAAAGGGAGAAATATAACAAATAAATAAAAATAACTTACGTAATTAGTTGATGTTATTAATTAACCACCACCAATAGGATAAGTCAACTTATATTCATTAAACTACGAGAAAAAATAGAAACTACTAAATAATGATATCCGAAACACGTGTAAACACTTATACCCGCAACGACGGAATCCGGTTGATGGCTCATTTGGCCCAGACTTGAAAGCTAATTTTGTATGTCACAGATAAAATATGTCAATTGTCAGTTTAAAAACCTAGGCCCTAGCTTTCAGTTTTTATTTGTTTGTTAACAGTTAACACACTACACAGTTTAATAACTGACATATTATATTTACCATTTTCAAAATATATTTTCTGGTTGGTGTTCAATTCCCAGAGTTTTTAAACAAATCAAATCCTATAGATTTAAACCATGAACGCACCTCCCACCTTTGAATCATTTCTTTTGTATGATGGAGAAAAGAAGTAAGTATTTTCCCGCTTTCGGTTTTAAACTAACAAAATCATTAGTATAATCATAATACTCGTCTGGTTTTTTCATTACAGGGTACAAAAAGAAGAAGATACAAAAGTAACAAATGCAGCTATTTTCACTGTAAACAAGGAAGATCATACCCTCGGCAATATGATCCGACAGTAAGTAGCTAATGTACTTGTAGTTACAACTTGATTATAGTTTGATATATTTGGTCAATAAATTCAGCTGTTTATCATTACAGCCAGCTTCTCAAGGACCCAAAAGTTTTATTTGCTGGATACAAGGTACCACATCCTTTAGAACATAAATTTGTACTCCGCATTCAGACAACATCAGACTACACACCACAGGAAGCATTTATGAATGCAATAACAGATCTTACATCGGAATTATCTCTGTTTGAAGAGAGGTTTAAGGTGACTTAACTATTATGATATTAATTTACTGTTAGGTTTATGTTTACTTTGTAGTATTTTCTCTGAATTATAAGTGATCAAGCTTCTTTGCTTAGGCTAGTTAGGTGGTGAGGAATATGTTTAAATATGTAGCTAAGGTTATTTTAAACAAATTTATATTATTAATTGCCCCTTGACTGAACTGACAAAAGGTTTGCTTTATGTTAGTTTTTAAATATATCATATGTTTTACTGCTTTTCTATATGTAGGTGTGTGTATTGTTTTGTATGTAAATACTTGCCACATGGAGACGACCTGTATTTACAGTTAACCTTAAACTATTCCGAAAAAAATACAGAATAATAAAATATTATCTTTACAATTTTTATAAATTTTTCCCTTTTTCAGGAAGCTATCAAAGAGAAAAAAGATGGTTTAGATTGAGAAGTGATGAATTTAAGTACTGTGATGTGACTTTAAAATAATAATATGAGTATTAGCATTAAATTAAAAAGTTTGTATTTTTAAATTTTACAAATAAAAGGTTGAGACAAGTTTAATGTCTATATTTTGTCACCTTTGTAGCTTCTGGCTAAGATAAGATAGCAATTGAAAAGTCGTTTTTAATGATATGATGTACCTACACAATAAAATGTAAAATATTATTAATACATATATACATGCCGCGGCTAATAAATGGTCTACCAAATCACATATTAGATTGCCTAATGCCAACCAACATAAACAGCAAATTAAAAAACTACTTTTATATGCATTTGTCGTGCTCCTAAACAAGACTGCTATGGTTACATTAATACAAACCACAGCGGTTTTCTAATGTAACTTATTATGATTATATTATATTTTTTTGGTAAAATAAAGAAATTAAAAAAAAACATTTAATGTTAACTTACGAATATAAAGAAAAAATGAACTATTCCAAATTTACTAACACTTGTTGGTCCCACTTACAAATGACAAACAGTATAGTTGTATGTGATTAATATTCAGAACAGTTATTCTAATTAAGGAACATGCTTAGGATGATGAAGGAGATTGCTTAATTTCAAGCCATTTCCCACTGTTATAGGAGTATTTATTATCAAAACCACTACACCTAAACGTTAAAAAACTTCATATTGATGGATTAAAAACATTCATGTGTTTTATAGTTGTACACATCCAGAAATAAAAAGCATTTTATTATAATTCCATTTTATTAAAAAACTTGGTGTTCTTTATTGGACAAATGTGTATATTACTTGAAACATGATTGTGATGATTATTTTATTTGTGCCTAGTCTTTTCTCATTATACATTATATCTGGACAATGTATATGAAAATCATTCTTAAAAACAGGCATGCATGGCATTAAAAACTTATATGAAATCAATACTTATATACAAATCTAGTAAGAATAAAACGAGATACCATAACAAGGTAAACAATAAATAATAATACCTAGAATGAAACAAGTAACAGTAACAATGGTAACATTAAAACAATAAATAGTTCTTAGAAGGTTTCTTCTTCATCACAGTTCTCCGTAGCATGCCCAAATACTGAAACAAATATTATAAAGTAAATTTGGAGGACTTAAAATAGCCTATATTAGATAACTTTTAGTTTATATTATTATTGTATTTAATATTAGTATGAAACCTCCGATGGAGTAGTATACATGCTACTAATAGGGCTATCTTTTTTCATGAATAATATTAAGTGATTATTTATTCTCCTTGATTATGCAAAAAAATTTAATTAATTATTTCCAAATGAAGAATTTTAGTATTCTGTTTAAAGTTATACAGTATTACTAATTTGTGGATAAAATTTTATAACACATTGTAAACAGTTAGACCAAGCTGGCTCTTAAAATGTTAGCAGTTTTATATTTCTTAATCTATCTATATGATAATTTAGAATACTATAATATATAAGTAGCATATTTTCATTCAGCCAAATATCTATAGACAACACCAATCGCCCGTCACCTTGACGTCTAAATTTAGTTATCTTTGGTTTTTACCAAACAACTCTGGAACCTAACTTTTGCAACAAAACCATAGTTGATACATCTAAATACTACATTTATATATTAGGTGTTCTTTGTTTTTAGAGTACATTGTTATAGAGGGTGTTCTTAGGTTCTTAATACCTTCACAAATATCGCAGTATTCCCGTGGCAGGGGCGGCTGCTTCTTGGCCGATGGCGGAGGGTCTTCGGGAAATCCCTGCTTGGGACAGTCTTCCGTATCGTGGGCGTCAAACACGTCGCAAATATCGCAGAACAAACGCGGCGCTACGGCTCGCGCCTTACGCCCGTTACTGTTGAATTAAAGAAATCGCTTCAATTGTAGTATTAACGCACAGATAGATGGTTGAAAATTATTAGAAAAAATAAAACTAGCTGATTATAGTTACGCTATATTCCACTTACAACAACGGAGGTTCAGTGGTTAACGCCCCTCCCTCCAACGCTTGTACTCTTGCCATGAGCTGCTCGTTCTTTTTTTGCATATCCACGATCACTGAATTCAAGAAATTCACTTGACCGTCGATCATATCTTTCTCCTCTGTTCTGTAATACGAGAAAAAACTTAAAGTATAATTTGCGAAGATTATTAGTATCTAAAAACAACACGGGCTGATAAATTAAAACATTTTTTTTATAGATGAGCAATTAAGAAGTAAATTTAAACTATTAATTTTAAATAAAACATAACAGAAACGAAATTACGTAATTGAACAATTGGCAAAGGTACTCTGTGCTGTGCTGTGATTGCTGCCATAAATTAATAAATGAAAAACTTTAAAATCTTTAATTTCAATCCAGTTTCTAATAACCACAATTTAAGTCAGATAATTTTGTAATGAAGAAAAGTTTTTTTTTTTTAATGAAAATAAAACTTACTTTGTAAGTCAAATGTTGAGAGCAGACGGCAAATAGCACATATTTCAATACCCGCTCAATCCCTCCCAAATTCCACCAAAATTACAGTAATAATTGAAAATCAAGATGCATTAATATTATTCACCTGTCCTGCGCGGTATCTCCCTGGCCCAAAGTACCCATCGAATTATTGTCGTTTTTGTCGCGTATTTCGTTTGATCTCTTCGATAATTCCTTTTGCAAAAGCACCTTTTCTCTATCAGCTATTTCGTATTTCGCTTTAAAATTCTGAAATAATACACCAATGTACAAATTCCTATCTCGAGTGCCAAATATTTTGTCATACTTCATCAAACAAAAATTATTGAACAGCTCTTAAAATGGATTTAAGATTGACGTTTTAGAATAAGGTTATTGATCAAGTTCGAATAGAAATCTGTAAAAGGTATGCCATCAAAAACATAACTTGGATCACATTGAGCATGTATCTCACAACTTTTTACGATAGAAGGGCGTTGCGAGATCCATGTAACACCAAGTTGATTAATTTATTCAGTCCCTACTTAAGACGTAGAAAACAAGACCCTTAGTCTTGTTTTTGATCCCTGACTGATTGTCGCTTTTACTATTTCACACCCCTTCTTCATACAATACAAGGCAAACCTAACTATTTCAAATTCCTTGGTCTAATACAAATGATTTACGTAACTCAGTCACGTATACCTTCAGATTATAACACAAATTGAAAGTTTAAAACTATGGTATCTTTTATTAATAATGGCTTTGTTATTCTTCCTTTATATTAAATATAATATATTATAATGATCAATGAATCTTAGAATTAATTATAAATAATATACTTTGTTATATTTTTTGTGTAAATAGGTAAAACTGTGCTTTGTTTATGTTTGAATGTATATTCCATTTTTGGCTTTTGTGTAATATGTAATTGTTTGGATATTGATTAGTCAAAATCACTTAAATAAATAAATAAAATAAAGAGGAAAGATTTGTATTTCTGTAAATAAACGCTCTGGACCTATTTCAAAAACTCTCTCAGTATTACCTTCATTATCCCTGAGTTACATACCTTGAGATCATCTTGTAACTTGAGAACAAGATCATCTTTTTCTTTAATTAGTGCGACTTTCTGTTCAACCTCGTTCTTCAAAGTCTGCAATGTCTTCTCCATATTGTTTAAGGCCTCCGAATTAGCATTTCTCGTTGATTGCAATTCAAGAGTTAACTTTTCTAATCTTTCATCCTTTTCCCCTACATTCGTTTGTTGGACGGTCAATAACTCTAAATTCTGTCTTAGCTCTATAATATTTTTCTCTGCAACCCCTAGCTTATTTTGCAATTCATTTTGCTTTTCTAAATCTTGCTTAATTGTTTTTCTAGATTCTTCTAATTCCTTTTCGTAGTCATTTATTTTGGCTTTAAGTTCGTGTCTTAAAGTTTTGCTTTCTTTTTTATATTCGTCAAATTGAGTCTGTATTTGTTTGTTGAGATCTTGGTAATTTAGTTTTTGAGCTTCGTTGATATTCGTCAGTTGTTTTATATCGTTATCTGACTTAGTAAGTAATGTTTGTAAATCATTTATTTTTTCACGAGCGTGCAAGAGCTCTTCGGAGTGTTTTTCGTGTTCTGTTAGTGAATTTTGTAATGTTTTTACTGTGTTAGTTAGAGATTCAACTTCAGAAATGTGTTTTGCTTTAAGTTCGCCAGTCTCACGTTCTATTGATTCTATTAATTGTTTGGCACCATTTGTTTCGCCTTTAATAGTGTCATTGAGGTTATCAAGTTGGTCTTGTTTTTCTTTAAGTGCGCTTATTTTATCACTAATTTCATTTTTAAGTCGGGTTATTTCTTCGTGCACGCTTTTGATTTCTTTGTTGTTCTGATCTATTTTTTCTTCTTGAGATTTTAGTAATGCGTCTTTTTCGTCAATGATTTTATTTAAATTATTATTATCATCCGTTGTTTGCTTAAGTTTACTAACTAAATCATCAAAGTCTGCCTTTAGTTTGGTTGATTCGGTGACGACTTCAGCGTATTTTGTTTCTAGATTAGTTTTATCTGCGATTAATCTAGCAATTTCTACGTTTAAAGTTTCTAACTGTCCTAGTTGGTCCTTAAGCAAAGATTCTTCAGTTGAAGAATTTTTCAGAAGGCTTTCATGTTTCTGTTTGATTGAAGCTAATTCAGTATGCAAAAGATTAATTTGTTCTTCTAATTTACTTTTACTTTCATTTGTTTTAGTTACTTCATCGTTTACTTGGGTCATTTGCCGATCCTTTTCTACTAAGATTTCTTCACTTGATTTTAGGTCAACTTGCAACATTTCTAACTTTAAGTTTAAATCCTTAATTAATGTTTCTTTTTCTTCCAAAGTTTTTCTTAGTTGAATCTCTTCATCCTTTTTAGTTTCTGCTTGATTGTTCAAATCGGTTAGTTGACTTAGAATTTGACTTTTTTCTTTTTCATGTTGATTTTTTTGATAGGTCATTTGTGATGTCATGTCCTCGAGAATCTTTTGAAGAGAGTCCT